AAATCATGCATTCCCGAAAGTCAGGCATCACCGGTTCCTAGTTCATGCATGGCCGCCTCCATCATATCGGGGGGCATTGTATATCCATATACTTCGACCCTTCAGTTTGAAACTTAGGCTGCCTTGATTGTTTGTCACATGGTTGTGTTTCTCTACGTGAGCTCATTGTCTCCCCTCCCAAAGTGGTCATTGACCTTGTGGTCTGTAGTGGCCGTTACCTCTACCCTTCCTTGCTTATGTGACTCTCCACTAACTCTCCCCCATGTCGGTCTTGTGATCTCTAGTTTGTTGGGGCTAACATCCTCACCTTCCTCCAGATTTTATCTCCATTTACTGCCGTGTTAATTGCATCGTGGAGATAAGTCTGTGATTTTCTTCCGAGGGAAAAGGGAAAGCGCTTGGTTTTTATGGGAGAATCCTAATGCTACAGATTAAACGGGCCGCCGGTAGCCTAATCATATTCAGGTAAGAGAAGATGAAGAAGGGACCGAAGAAGAAAAGTTGAACAAAGTTCGCTTGGATCCACGAAGGAGAGCAGATGCAAGTGACATCTTCGGAAGCATGTACCAAAATGCTTCCTAACGGAAGGAAATGACCACTTAGCTGCCCAAAACCTTTTGGTATGCCCACGCCATGAAGAATTTGTTCTTTTCCTGTCGTAACCTTCCGAGCTTGCGCAGTCCATGTGTTCACCACGTACAAGTGTAGTCCAAAGTAAACCGCATCCCGCGGTGCAGGGGCTGACCAGAAAGTCCCACACACAGTAGGGAAGCAGGAGGTTCGGCCCCGTAGACGTCTCGCAATTGGCCGCCTTCAGTCTCAGTCTACATCAAGTCTACGACCCCAGACCCGAGTCAGACCGAAGAAGGAGTCCAACCGCAGCGTATATCCGCCATGATTGCCCACCCGTGTCCGCGTATATGACTTGCGTAACGCCTCGTTCACGGGAGGGGAGAAAAGGCCCCGAGCAGATACCAGCGTCGGCGTGTGGAGTCCTCGGGTTGGCCACTTCTTTCTATTCTCGTCTGCATATACGCGATTGTCTGTGGATGTAGGGAATTCGGGGTAACCACGGTCAAAGACGGTGTGCGAGTTGCATTGAATCCGTCAGAGCAGAAGCCGATGTTGGCAAAACGACCGACGGACTGACGGAGCGGGCGAGCGAGTGTCGGTCGGTCAAGAATGCAAAGAATGGTAGAGAACATTTGGATCTTTGTTCACCAACCCTTCGCAAGGCGTGCATGATACGATAAGAACGGCGTGAATCCGGATAGCTGTTCTGGAATAAGTAATTTCCGAGGATTGTGTCGAAAGGGTTTGGTTACACACCCATCATGCCTCGGTCAACAGAAGGTCTCAATTCCCGATCTAACACACGAAGAAGACGAAACCCTATCTATTCTCGTGTTGACTCCTGCGAGAACACACCATAAATATTGGTGGTGATCGAGTGTTGCTTCCGCATCGAGGCTTCGAGAGTCCTCGACACCTGGTTTTCCTTGATTCTTTTCGTAAGGTGTCGTCGGCGAGTTCCGATTGTTTTGTCCCTGCATCTCTCCCTTCATCATCGTCAACATTCCAATGACATCCCAGTCAATGCACCGTCTCAGCTTTGGACTGAAACCATGCCCATGCTCTAGCGCAGGGATGAATGATATCTGATTCTTTTCTTAAGCGTGGAGTTGTGTTCTTCGTTTACTCCCTTCACCGGTGGTCTCGGAAGGGCTAGCGTAAACAGATACACACAAAGAAAAGAATCTTTGGCTTCTAAACTGGAGACTTCTCTCTGCTTTGCACCGAGGCTGACTTCTTACCATGTTTAGAGCATACGATAAAAGAATATAAGAGTATCAGTATCTCCCTATTGGAGTCAAGTTGGAACATTAGGCGTGAAATCTACAGCAATCAAAAACAATCAGAAGAACCTATCAAGCGGAATACTATGTTGAAAATCGGGAGTTCTTATGTCACATGATGATACCTGTCCTATCTATACCGTTGGCCTATGCTCTAGGTAAAGCAATATGAACACACTATAAGCTAATATACCATGTCACAAGATATAATACATATAATAGATATAATAGGATTTCACGTAATACCTTAGAAAAAATGTCAAAGTCCACATCCCTAATTCCAGTGCTAGGAAAAAAATAGACAATTTTTTTCATATCTTTATACTTTGGAACCTAGGCTAGTGATTTTACATTCATTGATCCAAGAAAATGAATATTCATCCGCTTAAAAACTTTATCGTGTGTAAAATCAGTAATCAAAACATTTGCAAATTTTGCAAAATTTCTTAACACTCGCTCACTGCAATCCAACAGCAGTAATATCACCGTGCATAGCTACACTATGTACTATATATATATATATATATATATATATATATTTGTCTATGATCATATAAACTTTATTGGATTTAGAGTTGTATCACACTCAGAGCAAAAAAAAATGTGAAGAGTGAACCAAGCTCATACAAAACCTCATTTTTCGATCCATTAAGACTGAATGTAAAGCATACAAAAACTATCAATCTATCGAAGTAGATTTTTAGATTTCATCCCAATCTGTGGGTAAAACACCAAGTATGAAAGCTCATGTCGTAACTTAAAAAATTAAATGAAGAGTTATTGTGAAGCATATAATGATGTACTCATATATTATACTATGTATACATTATAGAGATAGATCTGTGTAATCACAAAGCTAGAAGATAACTGTGTTGAGGGTAGTAAACTGACCAAAGAATTCTAAAGGTCCATCGATAATAATCTGAGACCTCCAAAAAGATGACTATGTTTGCGCCAAATCTTCAATCACACACTCAAAACTTCATGACTGAAATTTTTCATAAAAGACTATTATGATTTGCTAATCAAAGACCTTTAAGGGTGATAAACAGATAAAAAAAGAAATCTCGAGGAGAATAAAGGTGAGTCGACGTGAATTATTGGAGTAGATTATACTAAACTAAACAGTTACTCTAGTAGAAGGACCAATCTGTATTTGCAATATATCATCAGCAAACTATGTGTGTAGCTTATTTGAAACAAAGTCCTCAAATCCAATTTCCAATAATTAGATACGTAAGCATGCGGGTGGATGAATTAAGTAGATTAAGCTCTACACTTCGAAGGTAACAAGATGCAGCTAATATATTATGTGTATTTTACGATTACAAAGTCATGTGTACATGATTATAAGTGAGCAAAATGTCAGATGCATATTTTCTCATATCGAAAACATTTACTACATACTTCTTTATTGAAAAGAAAATGTGAGGTAATCATGATACATAAGCTCAAACCTTACCTAGAAAGTGTATTTTAAGCTTTGCAGTCAATCTGACTGGGTCCTGTATGACCTCTGAGAGCAGACCGTAAGAAAGCACCAGACATTTGGTGGCATTCTATTTATTGAGAAACAGAATAAGAAGAAAGTTGGCATCTATTTTTTTATCTATACGTAAGATATTGAATTTCATGGTGGATACAGAGTCTTTTTATCCCACTTTCCCTATCTTTCATCCTGTTTTGACCGAAGCTAGCTTCAGCTTTCTCGGGGCCCACGTACAGTTTTCACTTCCACCGACTTTGAATGGGATTCTACGACCATAATTTTACTCAATACTAGAGCTCTCTAGCTTTCCTTCATGGAATTCATCTGAACTCCATCCCCATAACAGATGAAACTTTGCACTCACATCCTTCCAGTGAGTCAACAATCATCAGAGCGTTTCAAAATTTGCGACCATGTGGAAGGCAATTTAGATAAAATCGGGGATTTTGTCTAGGCTGTCCCATTTTCGAAATAACGGTTGACTTTCAAGCTTTGGTTACCCTCCATGTGCTCCTCGTTTCGCATTCAAGGTGAATTTCATGCTCCTCGAGTTTCAAAATAGTTTTGTAACAGTGGAGAAGAAATACCACACGATTCCACTCATGAACAGATATAGATGGAAGACAGCTGGGATGCAAAGGTGACAGAGTAGGAACTCTACATCAAAATTTAATTCATTACACTCACATGGAAGAATTTTGCACAGTACTCAGTCGAAAGTACACAATCACTTAGATATATTACTCAATTAGCTAAAACTACTGTAGTTAGGGATGAAGGTTCGCATTTGTAGACGCGAAAATTTTTTGATTTGTTATCAGCCAAATTTGAAAAGTTCTTTAGAACAGCTGATAGTCATGGTAGCCTGAAAAGGCTGGTTTGGAACCTCTGGTTCATGTGAAAGAATACAGACAAGTTCTATACAGTTAAAGAGCGATTTTAATGTGAGTAAACTCGGAGAAGGAGGTAACCATGCAGGGCTCGATGTATCAGTTTAAAATTTGAGTCAGGATACACCGCCAGTCCTGGTTATTCATATACTCTGTTTGAAAGTACACAACTGTCATTGATTTTCCGAAGTCAGTGATATATACCTTGACCTCTGTTCGGCAGCAGGTAAAGAATTTTGTTTCTCTGCTGAAGAGAAACGAAATTCAAGAAGTTGAAAAGAACACAGATAGTCATACTATGTTAGATAATTTGTCAAAGAAAATGAGACGATTGAGCCAGCAAAACAGATGTGGACTGTATTCGTGTCAGTCGTGCGCACAAGCATGAAACAGATCGGTGACCATATATTGAGGGAACCAGTAGCTTACCCATGAAGAGTAGAAGGTAGTTTTCCTACAAAGTGAAGAAACCCGGTGCTGCATGCTAGCCAGTACACGAGAAATCAGTCCAGACGGCTGATGATGAAGAGTCGAGGATAAGTCTGTGGTCAGAATGTTGGCCACAGTGCATTAGTGGAAAATTTCTTATATACTTTCTGGTGCCGTAAACTTATGCTGCATGCCTGCCACATACCAGCCCATGGTAAGCTGGAAGCTGACAAAATAGCCAGGGGTCATCTCTGAACCACAGTCCAAGCGAACCCTCTTTTGCGTACCTAGATGCGCACTTATCACATGTTACCGTTAGTCCCTCCATTATCCAAACTCTTCCCTTCCTGGCGACTCGATTCAACTCTGGGCATCAGCACCGAATCAGCCGGGCCGAAGCAGCAGCATCAGCATCAGATAGGGCGGAAGGAATAAGCCTCCACTTTTCATCGATGGACTCGTTCAGACTAGGGCAGCCAATGCAGAGCGAGCTTTTGCCGACAATACTGTCTTTTCGAGCAACATCACATGGATCATAGTGAATACCCAAATCCCGAGATGTCCTGTTGTGCTCGAAAGTCTTTCGAGAATTTGTCAATACGATACACAGATTCCAGTTTAGATCAGATTGGGGGAGAGAAGTTTTCCAAACACTTGCTCGCGCCTTTCGCTGTTTGACATTGCAACAACAATTTCCACAGAGACTTTCTGTGCAGATGACTGGATAAGCTTGACTACTTTGGTTCACACTGAGATCATGGAGGCGAAGATGACTTCGAGCTATTGCGCCGATTCTTGTAAGGTCCGTGGAACATTGACCCATTATGGATGGGTTCCACACTCGATGTGCAGGTCAGTTGCTTCCATGAAATGGAGCTGGATTATTCTCTGTGATCTCCTTTTCAAGTCGCACCAGCACATCATCATTGAACCGCAACACCTTGGAGCTCTAGGTGTTGTAATGTACTATGTATGTTTTCCGGGCAGCCTATTTGCAAAATGTTGAGGTTCATGTGTGGTGGTTTGTATTGACTGGTTATTTCCACGATCCTTCGTAAAAATTATTCAAGACTTCCGATCACGACAGCGAACTCTAGATGCTGTCAATTCCCTTTTTTCGAATCTGCTTTCTTACGGCTATGATCAGACCTCGAAAACTTGATGGTCACAATCTACCTACGTATGTGGTGATGAAACTCCTACCGCCGAATCTTCCACAATCCTCGATAAAGTGGGGCTTATAATCTATCGTCTCTAAAACTCTCCTTTCTCTCCTTTCCAACTTCGATTCCTCTCTACTGCCGATCATGTTGTCTGATACCGTATACTCATCATTTGTAATACGAGATCGTCTTCACTCATACGTGTAAAAGTGCAAGTTCAAAGCATCTGCAAGCAATGACCGCGATCCCTCTTACCGTGAGCACCCAGAAGTTAAGTAATTGTGAAATTATTTATAACTGACCTAGTGGTACCCCGAAACAAAGAGACGAAGGTTCACCAAAATTTCATTATTCTACATTATGTCATGAGTATTCGTGGATATTCATTATACAGTTACAATATCTACCTTTTAGTACATGTTTTGTGGCTAGTTCCACTTATTAGTATATTATACACTAATAAATGGAACAAAATAAGTGAAAATGTGTATTAATACCATTTTGATGAATTTATGTTGTAGGTTTAACAAGCGAGGTGTCATAGTGTAACGTATGATATCTTCATCATCTCTTGCTTCAAAGGGGATGTATGGTTCCATACGGTGTGCATATACTAAAATTGCCATTAAGATATGAGGATTCTGTTTTACTCTAGCTAAAATGAGTATTTGATGCATGTACGTGACATCACTTTTCTAGGATGTCATGGTGTTTCTTGTATTCTACGCAGTTTTTCTCTTATATACATTTAGCTATTGGACATAAATATTACTTCATATGTTATATATCACGTCTTATTATCTTTGATACTAAGATTACATATGTCTTTGGCGAAATCGTTATACCACTAAATAGCCACGGTTACATGAAAATTTACACAAATATAATTATCTTCTTGCATATTCTATGGAGATGTAAAAATTGGTTATAGTTGGTAGAGGAAATAAATGTGTATTAGATATTTATACTTAATCATTAAAAATTTTTTTAATACGTGATGACATGGTGAAGTATGATATATATAAATAAATTAAAACATATATTCAATCATATGTACAATTTGGATTGATATTTTCCATATAAAATATGATATTTTTTATATTAAACCATTTCCATAGACTAAATTTAATTCCAATTGATAATCAATGTATCAATAGTTTTACTTCAATATTTTTTTCTTGAAATTAAAGCTGAATTATAATGTGATCACATTCATACGATAGTTGTTTTATTTCTAATCGGTAGTGTTTTCAAAGTGTAAATGCAATGTTTTCAGCAATTGTGTTTCTAAGGTAGTACTTAATCTATATAAAAATTTGACGCAAATAACATTTACTCTAGTATAGAACAAATTTGCAGTTTGCACAATAACTATCAACATTGTGGAAAGTATCACCATGATGATGATACCTCTGACACTGTCCATGTCCATGGTATTATCAAAATATGGTTGTTTCCTTGATAGAGTTTAAATGTGATTCGTCGATCATAACCAATTAGAATTTCCATAGAAAACAATTGTAGCATGACTGTGCAAAGGTATGTGAAGAATGAATAAGCTATAATAGCAGACAAATACCAAAGTTGAGCATAATGGTACAAATGCGATCCCATGAATACTGAAACAATAGCAGAGATTCAAATACGGTTACAAATTAATATTCTATTGACAACTTTTACTTCTCATTCGCATGTCACTTCTAGAAACATCTACAATTACTAACCCGAATGCAATACAAATGGAGAATGTAATCTCTTTCAAATCCTGAAATTCATCCCATATACACTATAAAAATCTCATGCGACTTTGCAATTGATATTCAAGGGTAAAGCTTTCCAAGATTACACGCTTAGCCGGCTACACCGAGCATCCAATCTACAGGTTTGCTTAAATCCTGAGCTACACTATGCACCACTCATAACATCCGAGACAACTACTCTACTCTAGATGCGGTATCTTTGATAAACCGAAGCAACTCTTGCACGACGACAAACGCACAACTCACGAACGTGAGGATGAATGTAGACTTAAGACTAAAAACTGACTCATGGAAAAGTGCCTACAAGGCAGAGCCTTGGAACTCTTTATTCACAACGAACACCCGGAGTCATCATCCGCTAGTTGCGAGTTCCATCAGGTGCGAAGTCCATAGATGCGGCAGTTGCCACACCTGTAGAGCTCATGTCTACTCATATCATACGCAGAATTGCTACAAGCTCTAACTCTAAATTTTCCCTAATCTCTTTCAAATTGGAATTGAAAGAACTAATTATTCTACCTAACTGTCAATATACTGCGACTTTGCTGATTCCCAATCCTTTCAATCTACGATCCAGCTAATCCAATTTCGTCTACTTTGTGGTCTGCATCTCCCAATTTACATAACCGCGAAGACATCGTTCTACTCTAGCTTGCAAACCAACATCTATCTACTGTTTGAGATGTCCGACAGTCGGCTCTGACTCCATCAATTTCGCATGAGCTGCGACCAACTGCTTCTCAACGTCGACAGTTGAGATCGCAATCTGTTACAATCTACGTCCAACTCTTTTTCACGCATTATCTCTTAAGATTGGAGAGCTTTGCAATCAGCTAATCAATTTTTCAAGCGAGCCAATTTGGTAGACTCCGACCAATTCCGTGCCGCCAAATATGCTGTCAGCTCCTCCGCGCAATGATACTTCCTCTGAAATGCTACTCGAAACACTTCCAATCTGTTCCAAAGGTCTACCGTCACCTTCAGCGCAGTGCAAATGTCAATCTGAAGGCCCTTGCACTCTAGCTTCTTATGCGTACAAAGGCTTCGCTCAGCATCTAACTCTCGCTGAAGTTCTTTGCACTCTGATTCATTCTCCCGAAGTTGCACATCTAACTCTCGCCGAAGTTCTTCGCACTCCGATTCATTCTCCCGAAGTTGCATTCTCGCTCCTGCAAAGTAAGTGTCATTTTCGCACACTCAAAAGTCAAGCTTGCAACTCGTTTTGTTACCTCAGCAGTTGTTGTCGCCTTCGCCTTCGTACTTTTGCGCACTAACTCTATATATAAGATCCTGCTGTAGACAATGGCATCGAGTACTTCACCATCTTTTTATCTAAGTACTTCATGTAACTATTCTATCACTCAAAAGATCAGCCAAACTAAACTTTGCCAACTTCGGCTCGTCACGCAAAGACTTTTCGCCACGGTCGAATTCAATTGTATCCGAAGACACTTGACATGAAGGCACCGTCGGTTGCTTCGCAACAGTCTTCTCAATTTCTGTCACAACCCGGTTTGGAGTTACTTCGCCCCAAGGTGTCATCATATTCTCAAACTCTGCACGTGTGTTCAAATATGTCTTGTCAAAGACACTGGTGGTTTATCCAAAGGCCAAAGACATTAATCCAAAGTCTATGTCTCGATTACATCTTCTCCTTCTTCGCCATCCGCCAACGACACATCCGTAAGCACATCTGAAGGTCACCACTCCAAAGGCCGAAGGTCTTATGTCGAAGTCCATTACTGCTTCCTACACTCCCACTGTAGTCCAATCTTCCAAAGATAGTTACGGATACGATGTTGCTTCACTACACTCCGTACTGTCCACTTCCTTCTTCCCTATGCGTCGCGCCTTCATCTTATTGCGGAGATGTGTACTCGTCGTCCTCATCTGCATAAGAGTTGATATTCTGGTTTGCAATCCGTTTTGTCGAACAATCTCTGAAGCCGAAGGCATCTGCAATTTCCTTCGCCTCTTCGCAAGTCGTTCTACAATGTCATCGTCGGACATGTCAACTTCGGCCGAAGTCAACGCAAATTCAACGTCATCATCATCACTGACAACTTCGTTTCCTCCCATAATTCCTTCTTCATCAGATCCCACAATTTTACTTTCAAGCGGGAATTTTCTAATTCTTTTACTCTGTCAACAATCCCATGCATCAATAGAAATTGATTAAGAACGAGGACAGATAATTCATCTATCCCCCAAACATGTCTTTGACATTCCTTTTGTTGACACTCCACAATATGCAAGTCCAATGAATTGGTTTGTCAGCCACTGCGTGTTCCACAAATCCTACTTGCCAAGTTGCCATGTACGTCGTTTGCAAAGGCTTTAGGATCTGCATCAGTGCCACCGCCACATTGAGTCTCAGTCGGTCATGATAATCCGTCGTCCGCCACACATTTTTGGTCGATCGATTTGTCTTGAACAACTTTGTGAACATCTTCTCTTCGAACTGCGTAACCTTCACGCTTTGATTGTCATAGAGATAATCACCTGTCTCATCTGCATACGACTCCAAAATTTGAGCCCATTGCTCAATCGTCCAACTCTCAGGTTTGCCACGAATTTCATTGCCTTCTTACGCACGTAACTCCTGCCACTCCTTCACAATCGCCACAGAAACTCAATTTCAACCCCATAGCAAGAAATTGATCTTAGCAGTTATCAGCTCATTACGATATGCTCTCAATCCAAATTCCGACACTCTCAATGTCTTCAATCAAAGTCTCAGAAATCGCTCCATTGTTGCACTTTCAATTGCTCACTCGCGATCCTTGCTAACTCCTAATTTGAAAATGAACTCTCCTGAAATGTTGGCACGGAACTCTCGTTTCTGCTAATGTCTCTCGACGCCCTAACCGCGTCGTGAACTTGTCCGAATTGGTGGTACAAAGACATATGTTTCCTTTTGGTCGATGCCGCCTTCTGCTAAACCGCAGGCCCTTTTGCTGTAAAGCCGAAGTCCGAAGACACTCCTTCGCCTTCGTCTTACCATGCTAGCCACTTCTAACACTCACAACTCAATGACTTTTTATCCGTTTCAGGGATAAAAATTCATTGAGTAACTTTATCATTAACTTTATCAGTTAATGATAAAGTTATGAAGCATTTACTCTAACAGATCATAAACCATCTAATTTAACTTTATTGTCTACAAGTAGAACACTAACTCCAAGAAAGAGGTATCTAACATGGATTTCAACTATTACTTACTTGTCATATGCTACAGAGTTCTTTATTTAATCTAATTTTGATAATTCTTTATCCTAAAAGTGTAAATTTCTATTACTCTACTCTGAAAACTTCATCTTTGTGAAAAAAAATGAAAAACTATGTTACCACATAAGCTTTATACAATCAAATGGATGGTTTATCCAGACAAAATATACTTGGTATGAATGCTATATTTATTTTGTGTAATGAGGTTGAGAAAGTGTTTATATGAAAGTTTTGAGAATATATATATTTATTTACTTGCGTAAAAATCAAATAATTTTATGATGCAACATGAGTATGAAAAAACACAAGGTTGCACCATTTCATCATGAATTTAAAATACATTTTAATGATCAGATTTCATAGCGTGAAAAATGAAAATTAACCAAACTTGTAGATTCATTTGATAAAAATTTGATTGCAAAATGTGTTGAGATAGACTCCAGTAAGGAGAAATCTCGAATACTGGTGAAATATAACTAGGACGGTCGCATGGACTGGAGATAAATATCTCGTCTTCACATGTACAAAGAGACTATTTTTCAGAGTGAGAGATCTAGAGTAAAAGTGCTCATTTTATATGTGGATGTAGCCCTTGTACTAAGGTTGAATCACGTTAATTTTGTCTCGGATGTTGGTTGTTTTGACTCACGAGTTTTACCGTCTTGTGTTGGCTCATATCTCTTGTGTTTTGTCAAGATGATTCTTGTGATTTTACAAAATTTTACATTTAAAAAATATTGTTAAACATTTTGAAAAAAAATGGTCATATTTATTTCATCACTTGGTTACAAAGAATCATCATCCCATCAATTTTTCTGATCTTGGATTCAAACATAGGAAATAAAATAATATATGGCATTTGATTTCAGTTGTAGATATCAAATCAAACATAGTAAAAAATATTATTGTATTAAAGTAATCTATTATACAATCAATACATAGTTATATTAATTATTAAAATTAATAGAATCAATTCAGAGATATCAGAAAAAGAATCATCATGGATCTTAATAATATATCATGAAGATGATTTTCTATTAATTTCTTGAATGATCTTGAATATTTTCAAATTCATTTGTAATATTTTGATACCAAATTTTACAAATTTACGTTATCAATCATAAAGCTGGAGACACTGTAGGTCAATCTCGCCAGGGATTTGTAGTTGAAACAAGGTGCAAACAATTATAATCCAAAATACTCTCGGCTAGCTAGAATGGATGAGAAATAATTAATATACTTCGTGTGAAGGGGATGAGACAATATGCATGCCGAGGGCGAAGGTGACTTTGAACTCACCTTGATAACAATTTCTCTAATTGCGAGGATACCACCACCCGATACAAATGATGTTTGTATTTTCTGATATGGTGACAAAATAATAAGGATACTTTCTTTCCTCGCTATGGATATTGTGAAGAAATGTGCTCTGTGCGAGGTTAAGATCAGAGCAATTAGAATAACTGGAACCCAACTTAAGAGGATAAGAAAGTACACAATTAAGATCCAGTGAGGCTCTCTCATCTCCCGCCTTTAGCTGCTTCAGGATCTTTGAAATCCGTGTGATTCGAATACGGTGCGGGATTGACTGTCCTGCACTTCACAGATGTACATTGGAATAGATCCCGACTAAATTGATTCCAAGCGCAAAAACTTGTTGAATTTCGTTGCCTAAATCAAGAGATTAAAGACCTCAAGCCAACGGATCGTGACCCTCAAACTGGAAGAAAACGATGGAACCTCCCCTTCTTGACGGTATGACACAAAGCAAGACTACTCGCAGTTGCTGAAGGCGCGGATGATTGTATTCGACGTACATCCTTTGGGTGACGCCGGATGGCGACTAAATTTGTTGCATCCTCGGACACCCGTGTGTTGATAATCTACGGTAAGTTTCATATCTCCCATAGTTGATTGTTATGCTTCTTATTCTGTGTGCGTGCAGTTTGCCTGTCAAGCATTGTATAACGAATATAACCCGAAGGATATGTTCTTTCATGAGCTGTGGGTCGAGAGGCAATGCATTTCCACCCACCGAATTGTTTTGTCCGTTTATTGGGGGCTTTTATTCCGCTTTATGTACTTCTGTCAGAAGTCCAAGCCTGTAATTTCAGAGATGTGCAGGATTTGAGTGCAGGTCCAAACATTCACATTCTTGCAGTTATGTGATGAAGTTGATTGATTTGGGATTCGTATGCAATGTACCATGTTCGTGTGGCAAATTTGGTTCGTGTGATTGATTCCAAGATGAAAATACTGGGATGAAACTAAAGGCTGCGTAATTGTGATGAGTAGAACCCCAAAATGCTGGTGCATCTAGTGGAGAAGCGGGTAGTTTTGAAGGCCACCTATTACACTTACGAAACCCCAAAAATGGTGAGTGATAGTCACTTCTCGTGGTTGTCATATGGTCAATCAAGAGGACTCAAGTTGATGTGGTGTAACTGCCAACCCATAGTTGTTGCCGTAGGTATTGACACAATTTTTTCTGCTCGCGTATAGTTGCCCTATTCAATCTTCTTTTTCATCCTCACTAAAACTGTTGGTTGAGCTCAAAAGTTGGATCAATTACTTTTGATGTTGTGGCGGTAAGTAAGTTACTTCTTGAGCCGTTTGTATCTAGGAATGTCAAATGCTGAAGTTTTCTGAAAGTTAAAGTTTGTTAACATCTCATTTCTTCTCAGTCCTTTAGTCACAGGTGATTCACCTGTGAAAGTGACGGGTTCAGTCACCTGGCCCTACACATTTTATCGTATATTTGGGACTGCCACCTTGTGAAGTGATTTTCTGCACTGTGATTAATATCCAATTTTTATTACAAATAAGCGTTCTATAAATTCAGGAAACACATGCTATGCTACATTTTTACTCTTATGGACGGGGTAGGGGTAGGTCTACATGAGTTTCAAATTCGGTGTCAAGTTTATCTTTTTTTAAAATGTCATCATCCATGACACGAACTAATATACCGTCCCTCTTGTCGCGTAGACTCAACAGCTTGTTACATGATTGTAAACGGGCTACTTCTTGAACTTCACTGGTTCAAGCAACGATACACATCTTGGTTCATCGGCGATTCAGTTTGTGAGGGTAAGTCAAATCCCTTCGATCTCTGTAATGTAAACCTTCCGAACTCTGGTTTGTATCTCCATGTGACGGTAAATGCGCTTTTAGGAGAATTTTATCGGAAAGAGTCACACAGCAACTTTCTTAGGGCTTTTCAGATTACATCAATTAATTTTCCTGCATTTTAGTATAGATGAGCAATCTAGATAACTGAACAACAGCAAAATTTGTCAAACCAAAAGGCAGAGAGCCTTCAACTGAAATGGTGCAACTTTAAAGTGCGGCATTATATTGAACGAGTGTCTTCATTTGAAGTAAGTGGAGTCAACACAGGACTATTTGACATATCTCAGATATACGAGAGTTTCTCTCATGGGGTTCAAGACAGTCAACGATCAATATATTACTCGTGTCACATGGATTTGGTATACTTAATAGGTATACTTACTACTAGAAGTAGGGCTTCAAATTGGGAAGGCTTAGAACATGTACGAGATTAACCATTCTTTTCTTCAGAGAAATTCGTTCTTTAACTACTGTTTGAAAATAACCAATATACAATGGTCTCTGTACGGTTCTTTTCATCGGTTTTAAAGAACGAAATAGAGTATAAGGGGATAGGACAAAGTTCTTTAACACCTGCCTTGCACCACACCAGGTAAACGAGCTTGGGGCTTGGATTAAGGAGGCATCAATGAATGGATTGTGGGAAGCCCACGGCTCGGCTGAGGATGGGGAACAGCGAGTGCTGTTAGCCAGAAGCAAGTCTGTATAGTATCTACTGGTGTGACTGAGAATGGGCTGAAGTTGTTCCTGTGTTTCATATACAGATTGAATATGCAAAAGCTTCCATCGGAACTGCACAGCTCTTGACATGTTTAGACTGATGCAATTTGTAATGGTCAATTTGGTGCACTGCTGGTGCATAAGTATTAGGGTATTAGACCCTCTATTGTAGCTATATGTTGAAACATAATGATCTTAGATTGAGAAGGTGAACTTTCTCCCTTGAAACAACAAAGGCACAACATTGCGTAACATGATGTTTCATTGCAGATGGGAGCTGTTATTTCACGACACCTTTAGATCCACTCTTCATGGTCTTACCTATATTGGACAGTGCTCGTATGAAGGTCAGTAATTCCTATTTTTCGTTACTGTGTCTATATTCGTGTTTCATGGTTTGACTTTGTCATCACCATGCTTAATATTATCTGCCATATCTCAAAGTATTCCTCCTTAAGACTGAGTTATTGTAAATGTGTTATATATGTGTTGCAACACCTCCACTGGAATGTCCCATATGCAGATATGATGAGTCATCTGTGGTTGGTATTGCGATACTAGGCTGGTCAGTCGATGGTACTGGGATAGGTAAGTTGACCTTACAGTGCCAATGGTCTAAAAGATTTTACTTTGCTCTCAGAAAGGAGACGATCTTGGAAAATTTAGGGCACTCGAAGAGATGATGTGTGTTGATGGCTACACGGGATACATGTCTCTGGTGCCGCTCCTTGACAAATGTCTTCACATAATTTGCGAAATTCGAGGTTTTTCCTTTTGAACTTGATAATGACTGAATTATGGTTCTGAACTCGATCGACTTTTCAGATAGTTGCAACAACAGAAGGCATAGGAGTCAACTTCAAGCACTTTAAATATGGCTATGGTCAACCTGTGTTTTTCTAACTTTTGTATCTTACGTAATGCAGAGGTAGGCGATTCCAAGTATTATAGGCTTGACGATCGTAAAGTTTTGGCATGGTTACTATGCAAGGTGCAGATACTCAACTTGTACCTTTTCACCAGATCATTCTCACTGTTGACATAGTGTTTGTTGAAATGATCCATGATCGCAGAAATTCACCTCGAATATCTGATGAGAAAATCATCTTCTTAAAAACACTGACCGTCACCTCATGGTTCAGATTTATAGTAAGTAGTCAGTTGAGGTTTGTCTGTCTTAGGATATCATCTTCTTGTATCTTCTTATACCTGGACAAAATATTTTTGCCTGAACCTTACAAACCAAAGCCATAGCACATGTTACTTACCAACATCCGTTATCTCAAACTCAGTTCGTTTACCTGTGAGGTCACACTTCACTTACATTCCATGGTAAGTGGAACTCGATGAGTGGACCCAAAGCAAGCACTATCTCACTTCTTTGGTACAATTGGTAAACTCAATTAACTATTAAGAGTTGTGATATAGGCCAAGAGGATATCAGAAGACCTTCGATCAACTCAGAAGAATTTGTTAAACATGAGCAAGGAGGACATGAGTAAGTCACAAGTCACCACACATGTACGCCTTCTTCATTATGCAGTCAAATTAATTTGACTTCTTTATAAGCTGTTCAGGATGCTCACATACCTGGCTTAAATAGTTTATGAGGTTACCTCTACAATACTTTGAATATTTTATGATCATTTCAGATTCTTGAATATCTTAAGTACATGATTTCCAACTGTCGCTCTTTACAAAGACCTATCAAGACCTGGAATTTCCCTTTCTTGTAAACACGCAGATTCGTACGTTGTGGGACTTCTGAGCGAATACTTGACTGCGGAACCATGGCTTACCAAGCTGTGCAACTCACTAAGGTAGTGTTGTTTTTGTTGTATAGAGGATCAATGTCACATTATAGAATCTCGTGATCGATTTTGCTTACTCATGTAGTTGCTCCTGTGTTTTCCCATCAATTTTTTTTTGCCCTGTTTGCTGTAAGGTTCTTGGCAGAAAGGTCTTCTGTGGTCTTTCTTCACGTTTGTCTGTAGTAGATCCTTCGTTGAAGAGATAAACATTCAATTGGTCGAATCTTCATCTTGATGACTGGCGAACGTGAAATTCCGTAGAAGATGCCCACTGAAACATATTCACCAATAGCTAAATGCCGCATATTGGGGTTATCTTTAATCTTGGAAACAGTCCCAAGAAATCATAGCACTGTGCAAGAGCACTAATGTTCCAATTTCTGCCAGCTATCATAGAGAATCGGTAGCAGACAGTATGCATTTTACGACCTTCGTCATGTCTTGATCGTCTAAACCCGATGCCCTTCATGCCTCATGGACTTCAAACAGACTTTCCCAATCTGACTGTCACTCATACTCAAGATTTTTGTAGGGAGCTGTGCTTATCTACATGGGTATTCTATCTGTGGACCTCTAATGATCAGGGTGGTGTCTTGAAGATAATATCTCAAGTGTATAATGTTGTGAACACTGTGCAGTGTGGAACGGGGGGCCAGCAAGATAGGACATTGGGTTGCACCGCCAGAGGTCTTGGGCGTGGCCCCATCCCAGGTTCGCTTCCTTCTGTCAATGAAGTGTGAAAATAACAGGCCGTACGAATATTCTCACTGGCCTGAAAGTAACAAGTTTTCCTATACAATTATGAATAAACACAAGAGAGAAGTTTAATAAGCATGTGATGTCATTGCAAAACCTGTCAACATAATCCAGAGAAAAACCTCTCCAACTTGACCTTTAATCTTGAAAAGGTCTAATATCAGTTTAAATTTTCTTAAACAGCAGTCAACCACACCCAGTAGAGATTTATCTTGCTATAATAATTTTACTTGGATGGAGCCTTCCAGTGGAGAAGCTTGCTGCATGTAACGCTTTCTGTGTCCCCACTTATGAGAAAAGAATTGTCGGACTTATTTAGTAGCCTTCGTTGAGTATCTATTAGAGCCCTCCAAAGTTTTGTTTTCCAGATAACGATTTATCCATAGCTGGGTATTAAAGTACTTCTCAAGGTCTGTCACTATCCATAGTGGGTAATCTCAAAATTGAGCTCCAAGCGAGGGAAGTCAAATTGGATAACCTACTTAACATGTTGGTTCTCTTCTGGGCTATGTCTAACAGAATACGAAGCACTCAGGTTCCAGCGTAGGTAAAGGAGCAGCAGCAAAGAAGGGAGCGCCACAAGGAGTTAGGAAGATAACCAGCTTCTTTGCTCGCCCTCGATAGTAAAGGGCTGTTGGTCAATATTGACGAACATGTCCCGTCTGTACCTGTGAAGCGTACATCTGGTCTCAGGCAACAAAGTTATCAGGTATTTCAGCCTGGAAGATGCACGAAACTGTAATTAAGTTTCTGCTTCCTGCGTGAGATTGTGGTTAGATGAGCAGTGACCTTGATTTCATCGACGTAAAGGAAACTTCTACCACTTTCCAGCGTTTCAAGTGGATGGACAGTTTCTAGAAATGCACCAGCGGTGGAAAACCATGCACTCGAACTTTTTCCTTTGTGGGAATGTTCATCATTGTTACCAACCCTTAGAAGGAAGTTCATGGTCGGGAGTACTGATCAGATTCTTGATTGCGTATGAAATTGTGTCGAATAATACATGAATATTGTCTTACCAAAGGGACTCAATCATGACATTTTTCTAAATGCGCCCACGATAAGAAAACAGGAACACGAGAAAGAGATTTGTTCTTATTCTTGCAACAGCAGAGCTTCTTCTATGTGAGCCATGTAGGATCACAACATGTGAAACCATAGGAAGACAGCGTTTTCACTAAGAATAAAATGAGGAAGGCTGTCTTGAGTCTTGCAGATTACTGGCAGTTCTGCAACATTTCCTGTTTAGCGGGGTGCTACCGTCTCATTTCGATTATACAGATTTCACAGTACAGAGGGTTTCACAGGAAGAAGAAAGACTTGAAAAGAACATAGATTCAAATGTGACGATGTATTATGTGAAGATTCGGAATATCACATCTCATCTACTTATTCATGCTGTACGTGGAAATTCACTTTTACAGAAGCCAGAGAGACAAACTTATCAAAGCCGTGTTACAAACCAATTCTGAAAAATGTACTGGTATATGACGACCCTATGTATATTATATATTTCGTTTTGGGATGACCAGCTTTCGCACACCTATTCCTTACAAAAGTCACATACACGCAGAGCCTCATAGTTTGAAGACTCGCGCTTCAGCTGTGGATTTGAGGAAATATCTAAATTTACCTTTGTTCATAATTTTTGAAAAAAACTGAGAATTACAAAGTCTTTAATTGCGTCATAACAGTAGAGTGTGATATCATAAATGGACGCTAATATCTTTTGAATTTTCTACATCAAATTTTAAATTACATGTGGATTTTATTGATAAGAGCGATTAAATTTACAAATCCAAAACACAGATAATCTATTACTATTTAGTGAACTAAAAAGATATCCCTTTCTTCTTTACTATCATAAAATGAAATAAAATACCAAGAATATTTTAACAACAGCTGACATATCAGCTGTTATTAGATTACACTTATTCTATGTAATTGCTTAGTAATCAACAGGAATAAGGTCATAATCCAAAAGATACTTTGTGTCGATGGAGAGTAATCATCTGACCATTTTTTCCTAAATTGATGAACACAATACTACAGCGATCTATAAACGACTGCATCATGTAAGATTTAATTCTAGTCATGTCAGTCAAAGTATTGTATAAGTCCACAAGTATCTGTAAAGTTAACCAGTGTCTTGTTAACCAGAGTAACCAACGTTATCTAACCTTGCATTTAGAATGCAAAGGTAAGCTTTGCATGTATAGCTTTTTTCACATTAGATCTGTATTTGGAAAATATTTTAGTAGGACTGAATCTTAATTACATAGCTTAAAAGAAAAAATGAATTTCAATTTTATTTAATAAAAAAACCATATTTTGAACAAATTTTAATTTGAAGTGGTACAATTTCAAATTAATGCATTGAAAGTTATATTTTTCGAAATTAATTAAGTTAATTTTTAGTTAATTATTTAGTTAATTAATTAATTGTTTCAAATCAAACGGTGAAATTTATCTCATAAATATATGTTTGTCTGGTCTAACTTTATATATAAATATAACTTGAAAAATGATATTAGTACATCAAATTAATTTTTCACCGAACAATTAGTTTATAAGTTGTTAACTTTATAATTTTTTTAATCATTTAAATCACATGTAACTTGAAATTAAAAATGAAATATCTACACCAATTCATAAGCTTTGTTTTCAAAAGATATTACTGAAATTTTTTTAAGAAATATTTCAGTAATAATACAAAAATTTGAATTCAATCTGATTGTAATTCAAATTAATTTCAAATATATGAGTTTTATTTACTTATAAATTTTTTTTGTAAAATAAATATGAATATATTAAAAAATATGAGTAATAAGACAAGCCAAACATTTCAAAAAGTGCCGAAATCACAATAATTCAAAAAAATGAAATACACAAATTTTGTTTCAAAACTTAAGCTTGTTTTAACTTATATTTATAATAGAATCGTGAAGTGCCATTCGTGAAGGTTCATTTTACCAAATCAAAATAGATCACAAGACTATAAAATCAAATATACAAGAACTATGACGGCCTAAGATCATAAAAAAGTCATAACCTCAAAAACTTGATGACATCTCATAATGAATAAACTAACAATCTCCCTATCACATCTTGGGAGAACAACAAACTTCTTAATTTATATAATTACTTTGCAGAAGGTACTCGAAGAAAACCTAATTAAAAAATTCACTCTTGAAAGGAGAGCTAACTAGAACTAAACCTTAGTCAAAACAAGATAGAGTAATTCTATATATTGAAGGTAAATAAAAATTGCTAGTAAACTTTACTTGTGCTACTTATGCACAATCTGCATAGTAACACAATTTTATTCATAGTAATAACTTTGAACTCATCAAAGTGATAATTTTGATGAACACATTGCACTATGGTTATCAAAAGTAAGATTGACAATCTCTTATTTAATCTGATCTAAGTGATAAGTTTACCAATCAAATAGTTTACTTTTCTGCTTCTGCTGCCGCTACATTTTTGGCTTCCTATCTAATTTGCGCTACACACTTATGCAAAGTAGATGTACAATAAATACATCCATCACCAAATGTAAACATATACCAGTTGTAAATTTTTTTTGTCTACATCAAATTCTAGCAAGGATTTCACATTGTTCAATAAATTTTCAAACAATATATCATAATCCTTACTATTATTTAGGTAATTGAAAATTCATTTCATTACAACTTTTTCATATTTGACATGAAACTGCCCACATTGCACATAGTTAGAGCAATATCATGTTTTGTGCACACAATCAAATACATGATGCTATCGACAGTTTTGTCATAGAATGTTGATGACATTTTTTTCTTCTTGAATGACATCAATTTGGACATTGAGCTTTGAATAGGTTAAAATGTGCTGTCAAAGTAATCCATACTCCTTTAGAGTTTGACATGTTAAACTTATTATTCACATGTTGGACGTACTTGCTTTGACTTAATCATGATATCTTCTTGTCCAAAGCTCAATACATATACATACATAATATATTCTTGCACTTATTCAAATCCTTCATTTGAAATTCAAAGTTCATCTAGGTTTTGCATCTCTTAAATTTGATTGATTCTTCATCCATATGAACATATCATTCACATAGAATACTAAGATTAAAAATCTCATAAAAATTTCAAAAAGTATTCACCTTTTTCATGTAAAAACATGAATCATACGCACCCCGTGAAAATCCTTGTGCTTTCATGAATTCATAAAACCTCACGTTGCATTGTCCATGAGGTTGCTTCAATCTATACAATGATTTTAGCAATATTCGAACCAACTTAACTTAACTTTTCTTGTCAAACCAAATGGTTGTCCCATGTAAATTTTTTACTCTAAAACTTCATAGAAAAATGTATTAACTATATCCATGTGACACATAACCAAACTAAATATTGCAGAAAATGCACATACTAGCTAAATTGTAGCAAACTTTGCTATAGATGAAAATAATTTGTTATAATCCACATCTTTTTCTTGTGTGAAATCTTCAGCCACCAATCTAGATTTGAAGATACTCCTCATGTTATTTGCAAGATATTTTTGGCTTTTACATTCATTTGCTATCAATCAAGGTTTGATTTCTTGAAAGCTCATTACCTGCCAAGTCTTACTTTCGATCAGCAATTGCATTTTTCACTCCATAATAGCATTGTATTCAAGTTTATTGACAAAGTTTTGAGCATTTCTATAAGAAAAAAGTTTTCATTCTTCCAAGATCAACACAAGGACATCTGTATACTCAAAATCAATATCACAATCTTTAAAATGGATGAATCAGTCTACAAATCACGTTTTACAAGAGATATTTCAATCTAATTTGATGTTCTTCTAAATGATAATCTAATTTATGTTTATCATCTTATGTAGATTTTTGATTCACATTAACAATAATTTACTTTTCAAAGATTTGCTTCATTTGTATTGGAGCTTTTCTTTGTATTACATCATTAATCACATAATGATCAATTTTTTTTGAGTACAAAGAGACTTAAAAATATTTTCCTCTTTTAATGATATGGACAATTAGAAAAAAAAATCTCTAGTAACAATAATTTTACAAGCTATTAGTTTCCAAAGCATCTAATCTTTCACATCATTAGCATATTCAAAAGAAAGAACACTTGTTAGATACATGATCAAGCTTGAATCTATTCTTTTTATGTAGGAGATTGTATAAATTGTACAATCCAAAAATTCTTAAACCATAAACCATTATCAATCATTTCTTTGTGATTTAGTTCAAACTACGTGAAGACATTGATTGCATTAAAAGAAGAAAAATTTACCATATATAATGCTGTATTGATATTTTAAGGCCAATATTTGTATAATATTTCAAATTGTATAAACAAAATTTGCATATTCTCCAACACTACTTGATAGAGCTTCTAAAAAAAACATCTATTACGAATTATAATTAGTGATGAGATGATCAATAATTCTTTCCTCTTTGCAATAGTTTCAAAACTCTTAAAAAAAATTATTATCATTATCCGTATATACATGTTTTATTCTTTGTCTAGTCTGATTTTCAACTTAGACTTTCCAACTTTCAAAAGTTATAAAAATCTCAAATTGTTAAATGAAAAAGTGAACACACAAAACATTAAGTGATCATCAATAAAAAGTTTATAGTACAACTTCTTAGAGAGTGAGGGTTTTGAAAAGTATTACTATACGTCATTATGTACATGCTCAAGTAACCTATTATGAAGTGTAAGTTCCAACACCAAAGTCTTGTCTATAATATTTGCCATAACAAAGTATTCACAAAAGTTTAAGTCAATTTTACATATGTCAAGTAACAAGCTACTATCATTTAGGAGTGTCATATACATATTACTCATATGTAATAGACTAGAATGTCATATAGAAGACATTTCAACTTTAAATTTAGTTGCATGTTAGTTAACATTAATGTTATTTACACAGTTTTTAGTGCATGTATAGTTTTTTTATATGTTATTGATTCTTTAACATAATCTTATCACGTATTTTCATCTCAAGTACTTCTTTACTAAAGATTCATTCAAGGTTTTTAAATCCAACATTGCAAAAGAGATCAATTTTTTTTTCATATAAAGTAAAAATCTATCTTGAGTTAATGTACTTTGAATTTCGTCAAACATTTGAATCTTGATAGACTCAATAAATTGATTATTATAGGCTTCATCATCCGTATTAAGATTGAAACATTTTAAATTGAAAAAATACAATCTTCTTTCTAATGGAACAAGTTTGTCTAGGATTGTCTAGTATCATCAACATTATATGATGAGTAGCAAAGTACATACCTGGGCATTGTAGACTATCTTTGACATGCGCATCAAAACTTTGAACCATATTGGCTAAAGGATTATCAACACTCTTGATCATGACTTGATAGTTCTTCTTGACATGATCACTTTTGTCGCATTTTCAACAAAATGTCAATTTGCTCTCTTTTTATTTGCTCATATACTTGGAATCATTGTTAGATCCAAACCGTTAGATATTTTTGTCATTTTGTGAATTCAATCAATCTCAAGTTACATTCAATGTCCTAACAAGAAAAGAGTATGGAGGAGATAACAACATCATAGCTCTGGTGTAAGTTTTCAATCAACAAACCATTTACAACTTTGTGATGAGTGATTGTCACAAAGCACAATGAAACAACACATGTGATAATAATAGGAAGCAAATAAAGCTGTTTTCTCATCATTTATTTTTTGTTCAAAATTTTGAAATTCAATGACAAAATCATCAAAAGCATCAATGTCGTTTTGAATCTTTGTGCAAAAACTTTTCATATGGAAACTCATCATATTCAAGAAGAGAAAGAACATGTTTGAAAGCTTTTTTTGACATGAAAATTTTGCTCAAAAGCCTAAACCAGCATAGTGTAATCCTCATACTTATCCATTTGCTTCAGAATTGAAGGTTACAAATGCAATATTAAAATATTCATAGTGTCCTCATGAATATCTTTCACATTTTCATGGTTGTAGATGTAAGATTTTGATCTCTACGTCTTATCCAGACCCGTAGCATTCAACTTGACTTTCATTTATCTCTCCCAAAACAGGTAATAATCACATCCATCGTACTTGATCATCTCATATCATGTTTCACCAGACTTTGTAGCCACAATAGGCTCAACTTTATATGGGTTCTATTTTCTATCTCCTGGTTAAAAACGCAAAGTGTTCTATGAAGCTCTACAAATCTAATTTTCTTTCTTGTCCATGATTTGCTGCGTATCAAAGCATGTGAATTCGTGTCGTAATCATTGACCATGAGATATATGTCCGCGTGACCGCTCTTGCTCAGTCAATTTCTTGATACTCTGTGATTAAGAATGTTGCTGAGTTGCGATAATTGCCGCATGTGATTTTGAACCAAGACCTCAACCTACGAAAACTTCCACTTGATCCTCGACTTCACTTCTCTTGTCTGAAACCGCAATAAAAATATGGCAATTCGAATGCTATCTATCAAACCCATAAACTTGCTATCATTTAAAAACATAGAATGAATTGTTAATTTAAGGCGCGATCATCTACATTTGGGTATTGGAAGTAGTGTGAGAGTATACTGATAACTTCAAGGATAGTTGAGAAAACTGATTACTTGTCTTTGACATATTAAAAGAAAAATATCAATTTCTTCACTTTTCTTTGCATGGGTGGAATGACAAACCTTCCCTTCTTGCTCATACTGCAAGTAGCACGAACGCAGGGCTTAGTAATTACCGTGAGGTTTCCAAGCTAACATTCTTATTGGAAAGAGTCTTTTCTCACAATTTCCTCATAAAGCTAGTAACTGGAACAAATTCAGTACCAGAGATTACATGGAGTCATATTTGCGACAAAGTTGGAGAAAGCTTTTTCGTCTTCTACCAACGGAAACATGTAAAATATCATCCTGACACACACTTGTGCTAATTATCAGGAACAGGAATTTTGATTGCACAACGTGGAAAATCTGCATTCTGAATCATCCATATTTTAAATTAGAGTTGTTGTTTCAGGACAAGACTTGTTTATATTCCATCTGATCTTAGATGGGAATGGAAGACGTGATAAATATGGCGGCTGCATACTAACCGATATTCAAAGGCGATGCTTCAACTTTTTCCTCCGAGATTTAGGGTGCAGCAGGACAGCACCTACCGCTTGTATCCTGGAAGGCTCAAACGGCCTATGGCCAGTTGCAACGAGGTCATGTCACGCTGTAACGAGACAACTGCTTATATTTCACACTTCAAGCACGAAGTAGAGCTCGAGGGTTGATGGGCGTGTATTGTAGTGATATCCCATGTGTTGAGTTGTTGTGTAATCGATGGGTGGCCATCAAATTTTAGTAAGGATCACAGAATCTTTTTCTCTAACTATATACATTGTTCGTAAAATCCAGATCCGCATGATCCATGTGGAGCTTGAATATGGTTTCAGTATCTGTCTACCGTAACAGTATAATTACGGTTCAGTAGGCGCATGTGACTGATCTGGATGCGCAATGGACAAATGATGATTCACAAGCCTTCACAGTCTATTTTCTTTCCTTACATGCATGTATGCACATGTAACGAAATAATGTCTTCGACAAATTGGATTCTTCGGACACACTCCACAAATAGAGTTCTACAACAGATATTTTTGTCTCCACTTGAATCATAGGTTGTTGTTCTTTTCATACAAGGCTCTTCTGTGCTAAGTGCATTTTGGGATTCACTTTGCGCGATGAATGTGGGTAACAAACAGCTTTTGCTCCTCTCATCTACCAAAACAACTGGAAAAGTTTCAAAAAAAAGAATTATCAAATTTGAGGTTTTTGTATTGGGCAGTCACTGCTGGGGAATTTGTCTACAATCAACTTTGCAGAATTCAATCTTCAAGTTTAGGGGCACTAACTGAAGTCATACTTTCCCATAGCACGAGTTTCTTTCGCACTGTCTTCCGATTTGACGCGTACACAAAAGACAATATATGAAGATATTTTCGTGTACGTTTGCTTAGAATTAGAGATATATGAGAGGTTGTTACGGGAAATTCATTTTCATTCCAGATGGAAACTTTTTTAAAAAGAAATATAATATTTTGCTCGTTTTACAACTCTCCACTGCATTGAACATTCTACCTATAAGATTGCTACTTTCTGCTTCTTGAAGCAACAATTTACATTTCAGTTATTGACACTGACTGGCAATGGTAGGAAAGATTAACGATCGACTGAAGATGCTTACGAAACATCCATTGCCTGTAACTCCACTGTGCGTTAGCTTCAATATTTCCATTTATAATCTATGACAAGATACTTTCGATGAAAAAATAAATTTCACCGTACCAAATCATACCAATATACAATTTGAAGGTGCAATAATCATTTCACTGATTGATTACTATCAGCTGCAATTGTCAACAGAATACGCTTCATTATTCCCAGGTGAAATTCAAAACTTGTGTCTGTAAATTTCTTCAGTACCTTTCTGTGCAGATGGAATGACGATTAAGAGATTAAGTTGTAACAATAAGCCTGCCTGAATGAGTTCTAAAATATACAACAAGTTCGCCTTTAAATGTTTAGTGGTTACAGTGGACTTTTTAAACATTCATCCTGCTGGAAAAACAAAGGCTAGCCATTCAAGAGAAAGCAGACATAAGACGCATTCCTACTATGATCAGGGCAGACGCAACATCTTTCGTGTGATCAGTACTTGATCCCTTGCCCATGAACTGGTACGTTCATACCGTTTACAACTGATCGAATTGTTGATCTAACTAACTGACACAAGTGAGGACAAATCTATACATCGTTCGAGTCCGAGGTTTTACATGGACTAGTCACAGCCAGTGAGCACTAAAATGATACAACACATAGGCAACATATGCGAAATAAACACTCAGGTAACATTTAATCTTTGAATCACACAACTTAGATGGTTACACCACGGAAGATAGGCCAACGAATATTGCAATTCGTCGAACGTTTCTCTCACTCTGGCGAACAAGTACATTGAGCTCTCAGACTCATGATTGGTACAGCGCTACGAATCTAAACTATGACGTACAATCCCCTATCATGAAACTATTCTCCTCATTAAAGCCGATAACATGTACAGCATGCAGCAAATAACGTGTAGAACGGCTTTTTCGTCTAGATTCGTTATCCTGACGTCTGTACAACAGTCACCTCCATCGTCTGTAAACATATACAACTTATTCGGTATCTGACGCTGTGATCATAGGGTCCTCAGTACTCCAAGAGAAACTACTATAACCATGTAACAAAGTCCGAGACTTTCTTCCCTTTTCACAGCTTACATCAAACACGACATACCGACGATGGTGATAACTTACAATGTTATTTCTACATAGAAGAACGTATTGCACCAAGCGAATCAAGTGAATGATCGAAAAATACGTCTACTCACCTCCTGGTTACAGTGAGATTTTCTGAAAGAGGTTAGCATTGGAGTTCACAGCAGCTTCAGCCTCCCCACTCAGTCACTCTCACTCAGTCACTCTCTCTCTCTCTCTCAGAAACGAACACCCATTTAATTCACTCACGCACGGCAGATATAACATACTGTAGTGTAAGAGTGTAGCATTACATCTTAATTACAGCACAGTAAGATTCGCTGGGATTTCGAATATATAGGGATGAAGGGCACCAATCGAGAGGGCATGCACCTGAGGAAGTTTTGCTCTTTCGTCCTGCTTACCTGGAGCTGCCATGAGGCACCGTTGTCACATGCCTGAGCTGACAACTGTGTGGACATACCCAAGCTCTTCAATTCTCCCCCATTTTTTGTGCCGTTTTGGGTTGCTGTCTTTGTTTGAAGTCGACATGTGTGCTAGAGACTACTAGACTCTTGAATGCACGCAGCTTGGCACGGAGGTCGCGGGAAAAGTACCCTTCCTCGTACCCACCCAATGGAGAGAAGGATGATCTCATGCACATGATGGCCTCTCTCGTGGATTGGAAATTGGAAGGTTGCTGCGCCCAACCATCAGTAGCGGAGTTAGTAAGGTACGGAGCAGTATATAGCATTCTCTCTCCTGTGCTATTCTGCAGAACCTTCGGTAAATGTACAAGTCCGCTGATGAGTAGTCCTCACATCCACTAGCAGCAATATTAACCGTTCGTACTGATAGACGCTCAAATATTTGCTCACTGCATATGCTGCTACTAGCTAGATGTCTGAGCATCCCGTCTCTCTCAAACAAAGCCTAGCTTATCAAGTTTTGGCTAGAACTCAGGACCGATCACTTGAGAGACAAAGTTTCGGTCAACACAATTTGAAAGTCGGCGTCGTGGATGTAAAGTAAACATGTCTGCCGTGATCAGGACCATTTCTTGTTTACATCAGATTCTACTTGCACGAAATGTATATATGTCGATGTTAGAATAGTCTTTTCACCTCTTCATGGACCGATCTGTCTTGGGTCTGATCGGATCAGACAGTGAACGCTTAGCTCGCAATGAATCCCAGACAATGCCAAATCCACGAGCCCCATGCCAAGCCACGGCATCTAAGAGCTAGCCTCAACTTTGAAAAGAGTAGTAGATCCTTCGATAGTTCGTGTTTCAACTTCACCTGTAACCACCGCCGTTGCTGTCGCTGTAAGTAGGAGGACGCGCACATACACACACACATAAACACATACTGTCTTCACTTTCTTTCCCTCTCACTCTCTCCATCACTGGCTCTCACTCTGACAACCGCAGAACCGTTCTTCTGCAGTGGACGTCGTATACCGACGTTTTATTAGAATGTGCAGCAGTCGATGCCACTGGGTTGCAGTAAACCCTGACGGACTGGACTTGAGGCACTTGGGGCACGTACCGTGCACGTACGTGGATACGAGTCCGTAACCCTACTTTTTGTTCGAGTGTCTGTCGGGAAGAAGCAAGATTCATCAGATTGCCATAGACCTAGGCAACTTGTAAAATGCGGGGCCATTCCGTGTTGAAGCCGAAAATCACTGCTCGACGAGTCAGTTGAGACAGTAGGACTGGTCAATGAGTCGAATCGAATGTCATACATAAAAACTCGTGAGCTAGAGCTCATTGCCTTGATCGCGAGCTGGCTAGCTTGGCCCTGGACCAGCTCTCGGCGAGGTAGATAATAACTCCGAGATCCACGTCGGTACTTCCAAAGCCTTCGTGAAGGGAAGGTGCAAATTGCCAGTAGTGATTAGTCAGTGGTAGTACTACAACGGCGGATCTGAATCAGACTTGTCTCCGTGTCAACTGGACTCAACTGGACCGGACCGAGCTGATAATGATGGTGGCGATTGATAGATAGATGCATAGGGAGAGAGGGGGAGACAGATGTTCGAGACAAGAACAAGCCACCTTCTTTCTCTGATGCTTGCTTACTTACCTGCCTGCTGAAGAGGCGAGCCGATGCATAGATAGGTCCTAGATGATGTCGTTGAAGTACTGACCTCCTCACTCTCTCTCTCTCTCTCCGATTATCATAATCAGCGAGAGAGCGAGCCGGCAGGCAGGAAGGCAGACAGCTCGATCCTAAGTCGGACTTGTGCCTCCTTTCCATACTGGGGAGCACGTGGTGAAAGTGCTACTTAAGTAGATAGCGTCTGGTGGTCAAAAACCTTTTCGCAGACGTGGTCACCCCCAAGGTGTCTGCCTCCTGGGAACCCGGACGATCGCCCGATCCCGACATCTGAAGTACTGATAGATGCCCTCGAGATGCATTTGTTATCCTCCATACGATAATAGACCTCTTAGGGGCTGGATTGGCCAAGACTCACACCATGGCTTGGCTTGTGACTGTGAACTTGTGGATGGTATTCAGCTACCCGTCAAAAAGAGTGAGTCGACTCCCAAATATTCACATGGATTTGGCCCATCTGGATCATCATGGGACAAATTCCAGAAAAACTTGCGCGCCGGTTGCCTCCGGCTGCTAGCTAGCATAGTAAATCTTACCTCGGTCCAGTAGTACTGGACTACTTGACTCCTGGATTCGAGCTTCACTAACAACGACAACATGAGCTTCATGGGCAGCCGCAATTAATCTTGTTAGAGGTGGGGATCTGATCTTTACTTCCCCGCTCTCCCCCACATTCTCTCTCCCGTCCTTCCTTTCCCCAAGACCTCTCATCGCCTCGTTCTGCCACACATCAGTTGCTGGGAATTGCCCCAGGCTCAGTAAGCACCCAGCAGCAGCTTGTGGAACGAAGACAAGTGTTTTGTCCCCAAACAGCGAATAACCAAAGAGGCTTCTGATCATGTGAAATCGGACCCATCTGGCTTGTTAACCACCCTGGCTCAGAAAATAAGCGGAGCCTCTGCTTCTGTGACTCTTGAGACATTGAGCGAAGAGACCAATAAAAGAGAGTGTAGAGAGAGAGAGAGAGAGAGAGAGAGAGCAGACGACAGTCTCGATCAGAAGATAGATATTCCTTGACTGACATCCCAAACTGATCGGTCGCTGTATGAGTCCCCTCGTTTGTTGGGATAAGGTCGTTACATGGACAAAGAACGTAAGTCAAGGTAACGAAGTAGAAGCTCCGTGTTCATTCTAATCGTAGATCGTCTTCTACATTTCTCTTCCTTGCAATCAAACCGGCCTTGACTAACGTTGACTTACCTTGACTGACCACCAGTTTCGATTGAGAGCCAGCGGTTGAAGAAATGGGGCCACTTCTCTTTCTGAAGTCAGTCGTCTTCTAAGTGCTGTGAACGAGAATCTTTCGTACTTCAAAGCTTGGCCTGAAACCACCAAAAACAAAGCACCTTCCGAGATGCATATTTCATGAATTTTTCTTGGAGTCTCAGATCTGATCTTAGCTGTTCTCCAGTTCAACAGTAGGCTAGAGAAGACATCGAGGAAGCTAAGGAACACTAGCTAAGGTCTAAGTGACATGTACAGCAGACCTTTAGGACTACTGTGAACATGAATACTAACACTGACTGGAATTATCTGCTCCGTTTATTCTGCTGTACAAAACATTTTCTCCAAACTAGTGGCTGACAGGAGCCTGTCGCAGTTCTTGATACTTTCGCATGCAAAATAATCTGGTAGGAAATGGTTGCTGAGCTAAATACCACAACTTGTAATGGTCTCCCTAGACTGGTGCAACTTACGAGACATTAAGTTGTGTCGGAGGACGACAGGCATGACACACGATAGTGACGGCTAGGCCACGGGTGGCCATTCGCCCCCAAACTCTATAGCCTTTGAGATGCCAGGTCTAAGAAATCATCAATATGACTGCTGATAGCTGATAGAGCAGCAAGCACCGAGGAGCTCAATGGAATGAGCTTTTGTTGGATCTTACATTCATGCCTAGAATGTGCACCAGTCTTGGTGAACACTGTAGCTGTAATACAATAGAAGATCCCAGCGGACATTTGATCCTGGACCCTTAAATCTTCAGATAATAATCTATCGACGTTGCAACGGTTCTAAGTTGCAGATTGCTATATGATTAGCCTGAACGTTGGTGCTGACAACTTGGCAATATCAATGAAACACTGGAAGCTGGCTGCTGTGACCTAAATCTATTCTACTCGGGAGAAACGAAACAGGTTTACACAATTTTCATCCAGATATTACATCAGGCCCAGATCTCCCCATTGTGAAGTGATAGACTCAAAGATGAATCTAGTCTTCAACTTGGCGATCCGTATATTTAGCACAATCTCTGTCAGTAAACCTTGCCGTTAACCAGTCCGATATTTCCTGTTGTTATAAAGCTTACTCTTGTTACACTCCCGCTCCTTACTGGACAAATCGAGTGCTTTAAACATCCCCTAGAACTCGCTTGACACTTCTTTTGCTAATAACTGCATCTCCAGACTTATCAAATTTCCTTGCATCCCAGGTTTGAAGATCAAGCTGCAGATCATTGTATCATCACTATCTGGAAAAACCACGATTCTGTCCTCTAATTCAAGAGATCATCAATGTGATGATCAATAGTGATATGCTAAATGATAATAAAATTTAAGCATAATTTGACCGGAATTCTTTTCTTGTACTTGTGCTGTGAATACAGACACTTGACAACGCAAACATAATGCATATACGTAAGTAGATCGGACTGATCTGGAATACGGTACCATATGTTCATATGTTCGCGCGGTTAAATTGCTCATTCGGAGAGTCATTACTATTGCTAAAGGAAATTTGAAAATATCTCCAAGGCTCAATTGAGATTTTCTTTGGACTCCGAGTAAGTGTAGAGGTCATCAGCGTGCATCATGTTGTCACATACCAGTAACGAAACTGGCTAACTGCACAGAGTCACTGTGGTACATGTACTAAATTGAGCGCTCTTTCTGTCTTCTTCCAGAATTTCTCTTGACTTGACTGACTGATTTACAGAAACGAGGAATGAGCCTAGAAGGCATCACCGAGAGGAATCCGGGTGGAACGATACAATAAAAATCAACTTTGGGCTTCGAGGGCGATTGTGCAGTCGGATGGACATACATATATTCATACCCAACCAAATGCTAAGAAAAGTGACTGTTACAGTATCCTAGTAGTATGTCTCCTATGGTTATGACTGTCACAGGTGTTCGCTGTTGTTTAACTCGGGCATCGCACACGTCTTCTAGCTGTGATGGTTAGAGCTTCAATGCAGATACAATCCAGAAACATCGAATCGCTCCAAGACATTGATCCTATACCCAGGCCACTTGCTCTATTTTATGCCTGACAATGTGATCATATGACTTGCATAGCCACCTCTTGTCGGGTTGCCAGTACCAAGATCGTCCAACTAGGGCACACTTACAGTTGGAAAACAAACCATGACCAATCTGTTGACATGTAGATCTGATCCGAACTTAAGGTGAACCAACGTATTCTTCTAGGATTGCCAATCATTCATGTGATGCATAACGTTCTTCTGATAAATAAATAATATCTGGAGTCAGACTTTCTGGTCTGTGGACTTTTTGAGACACTTACAGCCGAAGCAGATCCGAAATAAGTATAAAAACATTTCGTTCATTTCCGATCCACAATTCCAATATTAACAACTGAATATACTCCAGATCGAACTCGAATGGTTGGACGAGGAGCATAATGGTAGCTAGAGGACATGAAATCTACTTACAGCTCTTAGCTAGCATGCCAACTGAGCAAAGGGCAGTCCTCAGTCACACAAGGTGCTTGGAACCATTAGCTGGACATCGGGCTGGGACCACTTACTTGTATCGGCTGCTGTACACACATATTTTACAACAGAATGCTGATTCACATCAAAGATTCAAAGCTTGCATCCTTCCTTGACCATATTCAAAGATTCATCGAGAGGATAGCCCTTGTCTGTGTCTCACAACTGGATAGCTAGCTACTCTACCTGGAGCTTCGTGCATGAATTTGTAGGATGTGTGCTGATAAATCGAATTCACACGATTAAATTGCAGGATGATATCATCCTGTCATTCCACTTCCACTTGCACAGCAGAGCTATCTGTTTGTTCACTCTAGTCATTGAGCTGAATATCTCATGACCTGATTCTCAATTGGTGGAATTTCAAATATTCTCAAAATTCTAATTCATCTTCAGCAAAAGATCATGGAACCGTTGTTGTCAGTGGATTCTCAAATATTAACAGAAAATATAGTAATTCTTGTTTTCCCCGATGTGTTCAAGTGACCCTCGAGACTTGTTTTCCTCCATGAGTATAGGATCAGTGAGTCTATATTTATTCTAGTGTTTTGACAACTAACTTTGTGGGGGTGAATATAGGTTCTGCAGCAGGAATCCAGAGACCAACCGCGGACAAAAACCTTCATTTCGGCAAATCGCTTTGCATCCACATGATCAACTATTCGCCTCAATTCTACGATAACAGCTTTTTCTGGAGAGATGGAACCACACCACCCAAGTTAGAAACGAGTGATTCATACAGACCAAGGTTCTTTACATATACAAATGTTCGCATCATCACAATTAGCTTCTGAATACAATACCCATGGTTTAAAGTTTGACTAATAGCAAACAGCTTCTATAGCAGGAAGAGTAGACCCATGAGTGGTATATTGAGGCCTTCAGTAGTTTTCAAGACCATCCACTCGACCAAGCAAGCTCAGCTGTTCCACTAGATGCTGCTAACTAAACAGAGTTCACATTGGCTTTTGTAATCAATCACAGCTCTTCTTGAGGTAGACCTCAGAAGGATGATGGTTTGAAACTACAACAGTTCACAGGCATAAGCTGTTCCCTCTCAAAGACATTTCGGCATATACTCATAAGGCTTTTACTAGCTGCAACTATGTGCTTTAAGTATATAGATTTCTTCTTATGCTTCTGAATTATCCATGAATGGAGTTCCATTCTTCTGGTAGGCGTGTAAAATCAACGCACTAGCACTAGCAATAGAACTGTCACCGTAGTAGAGCCTCCGCTCTACTACGGATCGCGAGTAAGTTGCAAAAAGTGGAAAGGATTGACGTACAGCACATTTACAGGCTTCGGATCACAATGATCGTTTGCAACATTCCAGCAGCTACCCGTTGAACATTAAACCATATACTCTGCATGCACAGATGTACACCTCTCAGCTCCCGTTGCATGCATGCACGCACGCGAGGTAATTAACAAGCTATCATAGATCGCAGCTATGGAGTGACGGACATATATACATGTATGGAGTGACAGCTTGCTTGTGGTTGGCATTAATAGGCCTCCACTAGTCAGAAATCACATCAGAAAATATTTGCACGCCCCCGATCACCAGAACGATTACACCTTCTTTT